TTATCTTCTCTAACTGATGCACTGGAGATGGTCCTGAGGCTGAGGGCCTCCCCAGTGCCTCTCCTGGGCTGGAAAAGTTGGGAGTTGTTAGCAAGCCCTTCACCAGGCACTGTTTCTCTGCAGTGAGGGCAGGATTGGTGCAGGATAAGGGCACTGACCCACGGCTCTCTGTTTTGGTGTGTTCTCTTTGCTCAGCCTGGCTTAGCCCATCTGGTGCTTCACTGCCCCTGCTCGTCCTCACCAGCACAGCAGGGCTCTGGGGCTCTGCTGGGCTCCTACAGGAGCATCTCTCCTACCTGACTGCACCACATCTGGCCTCTACAGACACAGGGATGGGATTTTTTAACCCCTCTTCCCCTTCTCCTCTGTCTGCTGCCCTGCCCAAAGGATGAGCAAAGCCAAATTGCATTCCTGAAGCATTCCTGAGCCTCCTGCCAGCTCCACTAGCCAAACCAAATGTCTGAACTGGCCCTAAGGGAGCGGGATGAGCCATTTTGTGGCAGCTGTAAAAGGTCACGCAGTAAACACCAGCACTGCTGCTCAGCTGCTGTCCCAGTGATCCAGGCACTCTGGATGTGAGCATGGTCTGCACAGGAACAAGTGTTTCAAAGCTCTCTCCTGGCTCTGCCAGGTTCAGGTTACAAACTAGAGAATTAGCAAAACTTGGTTGATTAATTTGGGTTTGTTCCATCTAGTTTGAGACTGGTTATTCTAATTGAGATGGGTCTCAAGACCTGTAACACTTGAAAACCTTTGTCTTAAAATGCACATTCTGTCTTTCCTGCATAAATCCACACAAGGCCCGGGGCTTTTGGGGCTTGCTTTGTTCATTTATAAATATGGGGGCATTTCAGGAGATTATAAATATCTAAAAGCCTACAGTTGTTTCACAGTCAGGGATCTTCCCATCTGGCTTCTCCTAAGAACAAAACCAAGCAGTTTCCATTGCTGTGCTTAGTTTTCTTATTGTAAGTAGTTGTTACCCTTATTATTAAGGTATCAATTGTTCCAGGGGGAAAGAAGACTGTTTTGGTTGAATAGCCTGGGGCTTGTTTTCCAGGTTATTCAGCACTTTGTAAGTACTCTGGAACTGCAGTTTCCCTTGCCTGCATATCCATGGGATAACAGGCAGGTGCCTTGCACCTTGCACGCAGAATATAAAGGATGTACAATGAATTGGCAACTGGATTAAATCTGTTGGGAATGACGGGAAATCTGGCAGTGTCAGGGAGAAAAATCTCTTCTTACGTAAATGAGCATATAAATTCCTTAATTATGCTTTAGTGATTATATACCAGAAATATTTTATATTTTAAGAGGGGTTGTGGGGCAGAAATATATAAGCAAAATATTCTATTTAGCGTGTGGCACAGTATAATGAAGATTTTTTTGCTTTTTACCATAATATTACATCACATAATGTGTTTTGATCCTAACTTTTATATCCATGGCCTTTAGTTGTTATAAAACTTCTGAGCTCTGATCCAGCACCTGGCATTTATGGATTCTTTCTTCCACCTTGGTGCCTTAAATTCATCTTCAGCTGGATTAGGAGGACTCCTAATGTCCTTCCTCCCACTGCAGATGCTCAGCCCAAACCAGCCAAGCTCGTACTTCGGACAGTGCCAGATTTCTGAGTCACTCCAAGGTTTTAAAAAAATTCAAGTTTATAATGGTGCCTTGGAAACTATGACATCACTGGGAGTTTCTCACAGAAGTTTCCTGTTCTGAGACCATCCAGCAGACCAATGCCTGTACAGTTCCCACCAGGCCAACTTTGGATCGACCCAACTCTTCAAATTCTTCCTTGCCACCAAATCCCAGAACTGCTCAGGCCTGCAGAGCAAAGGGTGGAAAAGTGGAGGGCAAGCAGGAAACAGATGTAGAAAACATCTTCAGGAATGTCACTTCTTATCAGTGCATGGAATGAGGCAGAGTTCCTGTGTGAGAAAGCGTAGAACTGAACCTACAACAAACCCACCGTGCCGTGGGGATCTGGGTTACAGGACACTCCAACTCCATCAAAGAGCTTTGGCCCTGTCTCTTTGTCAAACAAAGGAGCAGCTGAGCACAAAATGAATAACAGCTGAAGTGGTTGTTGCACTAGAATTATCCATTGGGCAGCCAGTTCTGAGAGGAATTAGCTTTGAAAATGCTTTACAACATGTAACATCATCAAAAAAAACCCCAACACTTGAGGGATCTTTTCTTCCTCCTTGGAATCCTTGAGTCAGATCTTACTCCCCTGCCCCCCTACCTGCCTACTAATTCCTTTAACAAAGGTAAGAGGAACAGTGAGGAGTTACGTGCCAGGCACTGGCTGTAGGTCAGGAGTCGAATTATGGCAAAAAACTCCCAGTTCTTCATGTATTTTCCAGTATGGTCCTTTTGAACCTCCCTTTGCAGATGGCAGCGTGGGAGGAAAACTTGGAATTCCATAATACAGTCCTGGTATCTAAAAACCCTCTGCAAAAGGAAGTGACTGCAGGAAACAGAGCAGGGCAGAGTTATAGATTGCTCTTAAATTGGAAACTTTGCTGGGTTTTGAGCTGCTCAGTGTAGGAAGCAGTGCTCACTCTTTCCTGTGTGGTGAAGGATTTTTCTGTGGACCCTCCATTTCACCAACGTGGTAATTTGAACACCATGAGGTCGTTTTCCCAGGAGAACAAGAGGCTGTAAACTTATCCCTGTTCACTAAACACATTATTATTGGGCCTTAGTACTGTGTTCTCTTCTAATTTACCTTTATGAACCGTAGCTCAAAGCAGCCCTGATTAATGGTTCCCAGCAAATGATAGGGAACAGTAAATTCCCCGGGGCTTTTAATGCCATTAAAGACTTTCAGTGAGCAAATAAACAGCAGAGGAGAATTTATCAACTACTGTCTAGGGGAAAAAATCCTGTGCCACTGGGATACAGTAGAGTAGGAACTGAGTGACCAATCAGTTCCCTATAACATAAGGGCAGGACAGACAGTGTTTGAGCTGACAAACTGCTTCCAGGCAGCCTTTTCCAGACCTTTTCCCATCAAAGCTCTGGGTGAGCAGACCAGTTCCACATTAGGGGGGGTCATCGAAATCCTTCAGCTTTCAGAGACAAATAAGCCACTCACCTTGATCAGTTGTACCTGTGACATGAGCTTTCCTCTGGCTGGCATTCCTCATTTCACTTGGAGGCAGAAAAAGAGATCAGTTAGCTAATCCCCATGCTAATCTGCAAGATAAAAATTCAAGTAACTACCAAGTGTTATCCTTCAGACTACGGTTTTGACACTATTAATATTATTTTTGTCCTTTTCCACTTGGAACTGGAAAAGCAGTAGAAATTGTGATTGTCTCCAAATCCCCTTAGAACTCTGTGATATCAAAAGCCAACAGATACATGATACATGTGATATCCAAACCCAGCACACCTCAGGTGGGTACAGCAGAGCTCAGGGAGTTCTTTCCTCTTGAATTCCAATAATTAAATGTGCTGCACAGGAGCTGTGAGTGTTCTGACACTTTGGCTTTTTGAGGCAGAGCACAGATCCGTGCACTGACACAGTAAACTCACTGCAAGCTCCGTTTTTACTGTGAAAACGTACATGTCATTTCAGGTTAATTTTCGGGTTTCTGTACCCCGGCTGCTTAAGCTCCTCATTAGCATGTCAATCCTTGTTTAGACTGTGCTATTCACCAAGTGTAGGCAAGGATTATTGCTTCCCCACTTAACTGGGCCTGGTGGATTAGATACTAAAAACCAGACTGAATGTTGTTAAGCAGTACTTTCATGCTCGACACTCCTTAATATGTAAAACACTAAGCACACAGATAAAACCATAAGCTGCCATTTGTAGATGCTAAAAAGTGCACAGCATCTTCCCCCTCCACAGCCTGTGACCTGCACACTTCCATTTATTACACCTGCCTGTTCCCTAAGTACCCGTTAACTTTCTTAACAAATCTTACAAGCAACATGAAATTAGAATCACGGAATGTCCTGAGATAGAAGGCACCTACAGGGATCATCGAGCCCAAGTCCTGGCCCTGCACAGGACACCCGAAGAATCACACCAAGGAGATTTAATCTCCGTGTTGATGAATGGGGCTGTGGTGTTGAGCTGTGCCCAAGAGGCACAGACACCTTGGGGAGCTACAGAATTCATCACTGCAACAGTACCAGAACCAGCACAGCCAGGGGGGCATTAATGGTAACCTTTTTTGTCTTGTTTCCCCAGTAATAGTTAATAATAGCTTTATAGTTACAAGTTAATTTTTGTCAATAGACCTGACAAACATCAACTTTACTCTAAAAAGGGAATTCCTTTAGCTGGGACAACACTGAAATACCCCCCCTAAAACAATTTTTTGCTAATATCACAGAATATTGTACCTATATCTAATAACCCCTGGGACCCTGTTTCACCTTCCTCACTGTGCACCCATCTCTTGCCTCCTGTTTAAACTTCACCCACCACCATCTCCCACAGTGGGATTAATGGGGAGACGGTGAGTTTCCACTGTCTGGAATCCACAGGCTGCAATCAGTGCATTCCCATAAAGGAACTGCTCTCCTCCACATGGATGTGCAGGAATGTTTGGGAGAAGCAGTGGCAATGCACACTGCCTTGGATGAAGGGAGCAGTTCATGCTTCTGAGACCACTCCAAGTTGTGCAGAGACCAGCAGCATTACATCAGTCTCGGGGAAGGTATTCCATGCTCCCACGTGACCTGGATCAGCCAAAGAGCTCCCCAGGAAGGGTAACAGCATGGCTGCCTGCAAAGGAACCAAGTGCTGCCTGACATGGTTGGAAAACCACTGCAGCAATGCTATTTGCACAGCTTATTAGACAACAAAGAGAAATCCCCACTGAGCCCAAGCTGCAATTTGGAATCTGCTTGGCAGAGAATGGTTTTAGAAACTGAAAAGGTTTCCTCAGATTGCCTCATATCTCCAACAACCACAATTAACAACAGAAGGCTCCAAAACCCAAACCCAAAATCAAACATATGGCATGTAAGTCTTTACAAACAAACTCTTTATTAAGAACAAAATCATACAACTTGCAGGAAGTTCCCTAAAGGCATGATATATTGCAGAGCTGTACTGGTACTAAGGAACCAAAACGGCAACAGACTGGGAAGAGGAAGAGAGGAATTTGGGAGAGGAAGTCCCTGGAAAGACTTCACTGCACTTCCACCACTACCACCCAGCCCCGTAGCCTCCCCGGTAGCCCCCGCCCGCTCCTCGGTACCCCCCTCCTCCTCCTCCTCCTCCTCTATAGCCGCCCCCACCTCCGTAGGGGCTCCCTGAGTATCCTCGTGCTCTGGAGCGCCGGCCGGAGTATCCGGAGTATCCAGAGTATCCGTACCCGCCGTACCCTCGGCCCCTGGGGGGGGCTCCCCAGCCCCTGGAGCCGCCGTTGTCGTAGCGAGTCATCTTGGGGGGCCGGGGGCCGTCCCCGAACCTGCAAGGACAAACAGCAGAGCCTTGAGGCAGCCTCACAAATCCCGCTTCCTAAAGGCTGCAGGAACTGCCAAGATCCCCAGCTGAGCCACCTCTGGGTTCTGTAACAGATCAGTGTTGGAACCACACCTTTTCCACTTCGGAAGCTTTCCTCTGCTTCAGAAGCAAGGCACGAAAACAAGGGGCGACCGAGGGGTGCAAGCCCAGCCAAATATTTATTTCCACAAATAGGTTTGCCCAAAATAAATCTGAATTATCTTTTCTTTAAAAAGTCACGGTGTTTTGCAAAGAGGTGACGACAAGCTTTTATTGCTGAGATCCGTGCGTCCTTCCTGTGGAAACAGGCGGTGCTCTGCCCCCCCCAGGCTTTGCAGGGAGCATTCCACACCCCCAAGAGCCAAAGCCTGCGGCTCCTGCGCCGCCCCCCGGCTCCTCACCTTGTGTTGGCAGCCAGGAGGGCCATGCCCGCGGCCGCCGGCCTGGAGAGCTGCCGGATGACGGTCAGCATGCGCTCCTGCGCCGGGTCCAGCTGCCGGATGATGCCGGGATCCTTGGAAACCTCCACCACCAGGGCCTCCACGGCGGCGCGCAGGGCCGTGATGCAGGCGGCCTGTGCGTGCGGCATCCGCAGCTTGATCCTGCGGCACAGAGCAGGGTCAGAGCCACCCCCACTGCCCGATCCTGCGGCACACAGGAGGGTCAGAGCCACCCCCACTGCCCGATCCTGCGGCACACAGGAGGGTCAGAGCCACCCCCACTGCCCGGCACCGAGATGCCCCGGGGAGCGGCTCCTCCTTGAGCCAGAAACCTCCAGGCTCATCTTTGAAGTTTTAATTTGGGGCAGATTGGCCCCACTGAAGGGCCAGATTTGAAAGATCCCTAAAATTTGACATTGCTAAAATGTAACTATTCTTCTGTCGAAATTTGATCTTGAATTAAAACAGGGCCGTGGAGATGCTCCAAGGGCTGGAGCCCCTCTGCTCTGGAAACAGGCTGGGAGAGCTGGAGTTTCTCAGGCTCCAGGGAGACCTTAGAGCCCCTTCCAGTGCCTAAATAGGGCTTATAAAAAGGAGGAAGAGGGACTTTTTATGCGGGCAGATAGTTACAGGACAAGGTGGAATGGTATCAAGCTGCCAGAGGGCAGGGTTACATGGGATATTGGAAGAAATCCTTCCCTGGGAGGGTGGGGAGGCCCTGGCACAGGTTGCCCAGAGAAGCTGTGGCTGCCCCATCCTTAGAAGTGTCCAAGGCCAGGTTGGATGGGGCTTGGAGCAACCTGGGCTAGTGGAAGGTGTCCACCTGAGATGAGCTTTAAAGTCCCTTCCAACCCAAATCATTCTGGGACTCTGTCATTCTATACTCAGATAATATCAATATGTAACTTCTTGCATCAAAACAGAAAGATACAAAAATAAAAAGTGAACTAAGAACATGAGGCTCCAAGATTTTGAAAGCCCCAGGCCACCCTCAAAAATACTAGTGAACTAAGGTTAAGCATTTCTTTGCCTCCATTTCACCAACCAGGGGGAAAAAAATAAAAGAACAAAAAGACACCCAGATGGTATTTGGTCATGGCCACAACATTTACACGGCCAGAGGCAATCACTGCTCTCCTCAAGCTGTTTCCAAGACTTGAAAACAAGGTTTCCTCAGCCTCTGTCTGAAGTGGAGGCCCAAAACTCCTAATACCTCTTATTCACCTTCCAGTTAAAGGGGAAAAACCCAGCAGTTTTTATGGAAACTGCCTGGTGTCCTGTTTTCAGCTGAAGCAGATAATCTGCATGGAACAGAGCTCTAATAAACCCCTCCCTTCCTCCCAGGAAACAAAGGTGATGCCTTCCCAACACACCTGTGGTGCAGGGCCTGCTCTGGGGTCCCTGTTCTAGGGATATTTGTGTCCACAGAACTGACACTCCCCCTCAGTCAGGGGGCTTGGAACTGGATGGGATTTAAGGTCCCTTCCAACCCAAACCATTCCATGATTCCACGATTCTGAGCACCAAGGAGGTCCATACCAGTCATCCACCAGAATGAGCTCCCCATCTGACAGGACTTTCTTGGAGGCAAAGAGGAGCAGCTGCAGTGGGCTCACCAAGGTCATGGTTTTGGCAGAGATGGCTCGTGTTCGAATCTGCAGGTGAGAGAGGAAAACAACTCTTGAAATGGAAAACGGATCCTTACCTTCCTCTGGACACTGAAACTGGAGAGTTTTGTGAAAAAAACCCCACCCAACAACACACTAAAAAATCTAAGTATAATGTTAGGAGATTACAAGAGCACGTGCACAAACAAAATTTAATGCCAGGCTGATGTTTGGAGTGTTTCTGTACTGGCTGGTGTAAAAAAACCCATCAAAACCCAACAGCTATTTAGAAATACTCATCTTCTGTGTCTGCAGTTATGCAGCTGGGGTTTAGCAAGAGCCATTTCATGCTTTGCCAGCCTAAAAATGACCAAGGCACAGCTGAATTATCTTCCCACCTTTTGCATTGCTGGGGCTGTGATGAAAAGCTGCTTCAGTAGAGTCCTACTCATGCAAGTGTGCCAGCCTGCTTTCTCATTTAATAGAAACAAGACCTTAAGCTTGAACTCAAAGTGAGCACTTGGATTTCTGACCTGAGCCAGAGATAACAGCCCTGACTACCCAGCTCCTGCCCCTCACTTTAAAGAGGAACAGAAGAGCAGCACTTTGGATTTCAGCCTCCCACCCTGACAGCTCCTCTCTCCCTCCTTCTTTCACACAGCAGAATCTGTTGTACTTGTTTGTCCTCAAAGCAAAGCTTTTTGAGCTCAAAAGTCTTTTGGTGTTTTCAGGGAAGCTCAATTTAGAGAGATGGTTGAGGGGGATTGAAGGTCTGACCCTCCCGGGATCCTGACACAGAGAGTGAAGAGGGGCAAAGCCTCACCACAGCTCTGAACTATGGATGTGAGAATCCACATTATCAGGGCAAGATCCCAGCCAGTGCCCAAAGGGTTTAAAATTCCATTTATTACCAAACATAAAAGCATTGCCTTTGTTTGCTCCTGCAAATACGGGTGAGCAGGAGCAGCTGAGCTCATGGAGGCCATCAGTGGAGCACAGGAGATCTCCCAGGGCTTCCAGAGACATGTAGGTACGTGCTGAGTACACCAGATCCAGGGGATGGAGGAGCACATCCTGGGGACCCTGGGGAAAGCATCCTGGGGTTCATGAGAGATGTTTGGGAAATGGGAATTGCCCTCGGCAGATGACAAACTACCTTCAGGCTGAAACAGGAGCACCCCACTGCCATATTCCACACCCCTCTTTTCTCCCTGATTCATAAGTAGCAGAAGTGATAAGGGTAAAAATTCTCTGGTGCCTGATGAGCAAGGAAGAGCTCCCAAAACAAACTCTGAAAGAAGATAATGGTTTAGATTCCTCTCTGTGATCTGGCTGTTGTCACAAAACTCACAGGGACTTTCTACTGGATGTGGTTGACTCGAAGCTCCTGGGAGGCTGAGTGACACCAGGACCACATAAAGTTCACTTTCTGGAAAGCAAACCAACCAACCAACAGCCCCTCCCCAAAAAACAAGCTAAATATTGCACAGTCAGGTTTTTTCCTTATGGCTTCTTTACCAAGAAGAGCCTCTTGAACAATCTGGCAGCACGTGATCAAGAACAAACCCAAAAGCTTTACCTTTTCTCCAAAAACGAAGAAGGGTGATGGATACTTGATGTCCTGGCTGCTGAAAGGGCAGTTGACAGATGATTTGTGGATGAGAGCGTTGTGCCCCTCCGTGGTAAGAATTTTCCTTTTCTCCTTGTGGTAGCAGACGTTGGGGTAGACCCCAAAAGCCAGCAGGGAGATGACAACATCCAGGTTATTGTCTGGGCCCGTGTTGTTGAACGGCTGAGTCATCAAACACTCTGTTGGCAGAGAACAGAGGAGTGGCTCAAACCCACAGGGCATGGAGGAGAGCACAGCAGAGCTGTTTAGGATCCTGGATCAGAGCAGGGTTGTTTAGGATCCTGGACCAGTGCATTTTCTGATTCAGTCCACTGGTAGAGGTGCATCTGCTCCCCAATGACCTCTGTGCTCAGAGCATTCCAGCTCTACATTCAACTTTGAATTTCTTAATGGAGAGCAAAAAGCTGAAAAATACTGCTAACAAGGAGGTATTTTTCTTTCCCAAACTCTTCATAAACAAGGAGAGAGGGGGTTGCCCAGAATGTGCTGTACCACAGTGTGTTTACTGTCATTTGTTCTGGAGACAGAACTTCAGGGGGAGGTCAGAATGGATGCTTTTATTAGTTTATTTGTTACAAACCTCCCCAGAGTCTCTGGGAGCTTGTTTTCAGGTCATCTTGCCCAGAAAGAAAGTTAAGGGTAAATACAGCAGTGATCCTAGCAGCGTGAGGAGAAAAAAAATTAAAGGAATTTAAAGAAAAAAAAACCAAAAAGGAAAAGAAGGGGAGATAAACATCTACTCAATCCAGCCAGACAAACCATTTCACTGAGATCCTCAGCAACATTTGGCCAATTCAGAACCTGGTCAAGTTTAAGAATTTTATTTTATTTTTTCCTAGAAAATGGAATAATTTGGCACACTGCTGCACATCCCTCCTGCAGCAGGAGTCACAGGGTTCAGCTCAACACTGTTCAGCTCACACAGACTCCCTGCTCAGGCTAAAGGAAAGGAGGGGAGAAGTACAGCACGTTTTGGAGATGTAAAAGGGAAGGAGAAAGAAAACCAGGGAGGTAACACTCCAAGGACAGCTGCTTAATAGATTTTCAATCCTGCAGCCCTAACCTCAGCCTCCAAAGCCAACCTGTGTTGCCCCACACCCATCACAGCTTCTCTGCTTTAGGAGACAGCACTAAAATCCATCTAAAAGCAGAGCAGTGTTATGGCAAATCCACTAAACCCTCTGTGCTTGTGTGTTCAACACAGATTATCCTGCTTATTTATTTATCATCTCAGAATGAAAAATGCAAATTCTTAAATTACTGTGTCCAAGCAGAATCACCTTCAGGGAAGCCAGAACTAATAAGTATGTCTTTCAGCTGGACTTTTGCTTCCCAAGTCATTCTGAGAGTGGCCATGCTGAGTCTTTTGTGCTCACAAAACCTCTTCTCTGCTTCTTCACCACCCATTCTGAAAAGCAAACAGAGGGAATTACAAGTCTGGTCAGGGAAGGGGAAAGCTCCCACTGTGTTACCCACAACTCCCCCTCAGCTGCTGCGCCAGACAACGTACCTGGCATCGTCCCAGGCCTGGAAGACAGAGAGCAAAGCCACGTGATCCGAGTACCTGGTCCCAGCAAAGTTCCTATGGACATAACCCAGGCGTTTGCCCTCGTTGATGAAGGGCTCAGGGAAACAGGTGGCAGCAGAGATGGTACAAACAGCATCTCCCACGCTGAAAGGAGCCACAGAAGGGATCAGGGTCATTCAGTTCCTGCTGCAGCACCTGCTGCAGGCTGCTGGCAGCAGTGCAGCTTCTCTGCTACAAATCTTAGTAACCTCGCCCTTATCTACCAGAGTTCTTCACTGAAACACTTCTCTGGAAGTGGAGGTTAAATCAGGTCTATCTTCCCTCCCCTCCTCCCCATCCACACACCACCTTCTCCTGGTGAAAAGGACCCTGCAGCCATCACAATGACAAAGCAAAACCTGGGGATTCATTTTAATCCTTACCTCAGTGTCAAATTCCATGTCTCCCCACCTCTAGCTCACGGTTATACTGAAGTGTTTCCAGTCCCACTCTTAATTCATAAATATTCAGGCTCCACTGATCTGTTGCAGTGAACTCTCAGTTTCATAACTACTTCATTCCCTACACTGGAAGTTATTTCTCCTCTGCTCCCATGAATATTCAGTCTGCTCTCCCCAGCTGCAGCACTTATTGCTCATCTAGATATATTGTTTTTTCTCTCATACAGTGCATGTCAAGAGGCTCAGGAACTCAGAAAAACAAGAACAAGACACTGAGATGAGTGCTCAACTTACTAAAAAATGCAGCCCATGATCATCATCTTGCCCAGACGAGGCTCAATGGGAAGCTTGGCCAGGATTCTTCCAAGAGGTGTCAACTCATCGTTGGAATCCAGGGCATCCAGCTCTGAAACAAGATGCCTTCTGATCAAAGGGGGTTAACTAGTCCCAGAAAGCCTTAGATAAGAAATGCAGAGTTTCTGTGTGTTTAAATAGAACCCCACCTGTACTTAAGTTTAATGCTGTTTACAATATTGCCAACCTGATTTTCCAAACTGGACTGAGGTCAGGTAGATTTTACTTTAGCTTTACAGAAGTTTTACTACCTCCTCCACAGCTAAAATAATCACTATTTAATTCACATACATGTTTTTCCATTCCTTTTTTAGTTTGTTTCTGTACAAACCACCATTACATTGCTAAACTTGCTTCAAGTCCCTATATTTGATCTAATCACAGCCAACTGTGGAGTCTTCATTGCTGCTGCCAGATCACAGAATTCTCTTCCTCAAAAAGAGACCACCACAAACTCTCTCTTCCATGAGGCTTTACCTGCCTTTCCCCCCTTCCATTACCTAAAAATCATCACCTGTATTCATCCTCAAAGCTATCAGGAGTTTTTTTACATTAAAAAAAAAAAAAGCTTTGTAGCCTCAGCAATTAAACAGGAAAGGAAACACATAAAGGACTCCTTAGCCACCATCAAATCCATTTTTTTTCTTGGTACCTACTGAACCCAAAAGCCTAAAGAATACTTTGAAGAGTAACATCTCACCTTCCTGAAAATGCACTAGCAGTGTACCTGCACTGAAAAATCACAGGTCATCCAGGAGAGGGAGGCACCTGCAGAAACAGCTACTTGGTGTTAGAGCTGAAAACATTTGCCTTTTCCCCTGGCTCTGCACTTCTTATCTGCACAGTGAGAAAAGCACTAACAATTTTTAGACCAGAAAGTCATTAAACTTGAATACCTATCCCCAGCTCTCTTCTTCATTCTGGTCTCCCCCCTGTATACAATCAATCAGATATTCTGGTTGTTAAAAATTTTAAGAAGTGTTTATTTACTGACATTGGTAAAGTGTGCTGAGGTTTGACATCACTGCTTTACATCTAAAGCATAAATTTAAGGTTCCTCCCTGCCCCATTTTATTCATATTCTAGTTAGTTCCTCAAAAAAAGTGGGGAGACAGCTCAACTCCCACCTCAGTTTCTCCTGGCTTTTTATGCAGATTTATAAACTGGAGATTTAATTACCTGAGAAAATCGGATCTTGGGTCAGCAAACTGTACAAAGCAGTAATTATACAATGAACTAGCAACCTCTCTTTTTCAGTGCTTTTCCAGCAGCTTTGTGAATGCCTCAGGCACTGGACTGAGTCTGTGCTGCACACAGCAGTGCCACAGCTGGAAAACAGGAAGCTAGAAGCTAACACAAGTTACTGGTGAAACAAAAAAACAAGCCTCGAGTTTGAAGGCTCAAGTTTCTCAAAGGAATGACCCTCCACTTGGGAATTCAAGTATTTCTTCAGCTGCACAAGCCACTGCCACCCACACGGTGCCTCCAGGAAACACCTCGGAGTGTCCCACAGCGTGTGCGGCTCACACAGCCCACCGGGGGAGGTGCAGCCTTGGCCGGTGAGCAGGGACACGGAAAAGCACTGGGACGCAGGGAACACAGCTCCAGGAACAGCCCGAGGGCAGCCCAGGTACCTCTGAGCGTTCGCTCCGCCTCGATCACCGCGTCCAGGGGCGGGGGCTCGATGGCCTTGGCCAGGAACTGCCCGATGCCGCCCAGCCGCAGCAGTTTGATGCTCAGAGCGATCTCGTGCAGTGGCGTCCGAAACATTTCGGGTGTCATGTGAGTCTGCAGCCTGCGATGAGAAGAGAACAAAGAAGGGCACGTTTCTCCGAGCACAGGCTTTGATCACCACGAGAGGTCATTGCACCAGCACAAACTACTGCCCTCCAAAGCCCCCGAGCCAACCCACGGCTCTCTCTGTGCTCCTGGAGCCTGGGCCCTTCTACCAGGGAATTCCATGCTTCTCCATTCTCCTCTGGGCTGAATCTGCACTGGGAATGCACACAGGGTGTAGCCCTCACATCCCCACTGCCCACTGTGGCTTCTCCCACGAGCTGACCACACGGAGCCTGCATGGCTGGAGCCCCATTCCCAGCATGGATGTGTCCAGCCCTATACATCCCTTACCATCATCTTCTCTTCCACTCCTGAGAGACAACCTGCTTGCAGCCCTTTTGTACAAGAACTTCTCTACCTGTCCCATCAACTCCAAACCACCCACTCCTCCTGCACACACTTCTCTGATCACTAAAATGATTAAGTATTTCCGCTGGATGTTTTCCAAAGGTAATTTTTTGGTAGGAAAAAAGACCTGATGGAAACACACAGAGCTCTCAAGTCTTTGGCACAGTGATCCTTTGTGATCCTTCAGCTTGCCGGTTGAAATATGAAGTCCAGGGAATGACTGCACTCAGCAACAGGCAGCTAGAAAAGGTTTCAAACACCTTGAACAGATATCCAGGTTCAGCTGGCACCAGATTTAGATGGTATCTCTCAAAAGATTATCTTCACAAGTCCACAAACCCTTTCTGAGGCACCATGGAACTAGTATATTTTGGGTTAATATTCTTTCAAGGAAGGTAACTTTAAAATCATGAAGTCCCATGATTACTTCAGTAGCCCAAAATTGGGTCCCTGTCAAAAATTGTTAATTAAAATCACCCCACTGTACTTGACAGCAAATCTAAATAAATTTGAGCAATTCAAGGAGAGCTTTTGATCAACTGATGCTTTCAGAGGTTATTACATAAAGTTGAACATCAAAACAGTTATGCTCTAACAGCCAGAGAAAGGGGCACTGGAACTTTCATGAGGGAGATCAAACACAGAGTGTAACAGCTGTGTAGACTTTTCCAACCAGCAAAGAGATTTCCATGGCTCTAGTAACGGAGAAACAGCTTGGCAGAGAGAAGAGGTCAAAAGTTTCAGCTGCAGGGAAGGTGCTAGAGGAGCATGAAGGGGCTTCCTGGCCATGGAAGGGGATGCAGAGAAAAGCAACATCTGCTTTCCCTGCTTTTTGCCAGTTCCATGACAGAATTGACTGTTATGTGGAGAGGCCAGGTGCCCTCAATGTTTGCAGGCAGACTAGAGCCTCATCCTCACTACAAAGCTCTTTTCTGCCTCGCCTCAATTCCCAAGCAGTATTATTTTTCCCCTGAGAGGTTCTGTAGGTTGCAGTGAAGCTCTTACTGGTAAAATCATCAGCTACTTATCCACCTCATACTATGGGTGAAAGCATTTTGACACAGGTACATTTTTTAGCCAGAGAACTGCGATATTTCAGTGTGAGCTGACATCACACATCTCTCTGTGCCTTCTGCGGTGATTTCTCCAGTGTGACCAGAGCAGCACACAGCAGTCTGGGGGTATTTTGTCCCTGCAGAGCACGGCCTCACCTCTCAAAGCGAGCTCTGCTGCACAGGTGGAAGCAGAACCCGGCCCGCACGCGCCCGGCTCTGCCTTTGCGCTGCTCCAGATTGGTTTTGGATGCCCAGACCGTGGCATAGTTTGTCATGTTGTTGTGAGCCGTGAACAGCTTCACTTTTTGCCTGTTCCAGGGGGAAAAAAAATCACTTAAGATCAGAAGTTCTTCACCTTATGTCCTGCCAAATCAGTTCTTATTTTATTGCTTGAAGTCACATTGCTTAAGAAGCCAGCCACCCTGTCTGAGTAGCTGAGCTTTGGTTAGTTAGGCATGGATGTGGAAGCTAAAGCATCACTCTTTATAAAGCAATGCCCCAAGCAATACACAGAATGATGTTCTCACAACTGCCTCAAAAGCTTAAAATTATCCTAAAATCATGAGCTCCCCGGGTGCACTTTGCTCAGAGGACATGCCCAGCAAGGCAGGATCTGCAGGAGACTACAAAAATCTTCCCTCTTTTCCGTCAGGCAGACACTGAGGGTTTGTAACACTCAGCTGGCAGATGGCATCCATCAAATTGGCGTGGAGACCCACTGACACCTCACATGAATAGTGCCAGCATGACGAACCCAGCCCACTGAGATGCCAGCGTGGTGTGTCACCGTGCTGACCGGCTGAAGACAATGCTAATTTGTCCTGAGTTAGAGTCCTCAAGCACAGCTCTGGGAGCATGGGAACACAAGGCACCTCTGTGTGCTCCCAGAACGTTTCCTGCATTCCCAGGGGTAGGATTTACAAAACAAAAAGCTGCTTCATGAACTCACTTGCAGGAGTCGATAACAAAGACCACGTCGTTGATGGTAATGCTGGTCTCGGCGATGCTGGTGGATAAAATAACCTGTAAAAACCAGGAATTGCAAAGTGATGTTATTGGTCTGGAATAGCTGAGGATGAACAGCCAAATAAACTACAGAACTTGAATAAAAAATTCAGCAGTACATTCCCCAAAAGCCCAGAGCTGCACACAGAGAAGGCTCCCTTACTTTGGTCACTCCGGGAGGCACGGGATCAAACACTCGACGCTGTTCTTCCAGAGGAATTTGGGAATGCAGAGGTAAAATCCTGTACTGGTGGCCTCCTACAACAGGAATACAAGAAGGTTGGTAACTACTACTATGTGACTCTCATTTCTTCTTTGCACAACATAAAAATTTCTGCTCATTCACTTCCACAACAAATTAGCTCCCTAAGCCTCTCATCCAACTCCCATCCTCACACAGCCAATGGTTTCCTTTGGAAAAGATGAAATATAATAAAACAGCTGCTTATACCAAAGCGTGGGTTCATTTCTAGATGCTTCTGCATTGTATAGATCAAGTTCCAGCCAGGCAAGAAAACAAGGACAGCTCCTGGGACATTCAGAGTCTTGATATAAATCAGCAGGGCCTCAATGAGCTCAAAAGAGGTTTCTCTCTCGTTCAGCTGAGCCATGGAGTGCTTTGTTTCTGGGCCATATTCATCACTGCAAATAAGGTTGCAATTGGCCTACCAAAAAAAAAAAATCATATAAATTAATTTACTCAAACTACAGAGAATGGCTGGCCAGGCACACAGGAAAATGAGATATGTGGGTAGTTGTCTCTCAAGAAAAACTGGCCATCTTTTAAAAATTTCAAATGACTGGCCTAAAGAGAAGTTTCAAATCTACAAATTAAAAGCTATAGAAGTTTCTTGACAATGCATGTGAGTACTGACAATATCAACTGCAAGCGAAGAAGGGAAAGAATCTACATTTTCACCCTGAAAAGGTATCACCAAGCTCATGCTCCCCTGTTTCTTCTTCCAAGGTCACCAATCTTTTCATTTTCAGAAGCATTTCAGTTCTAGCTTTAAAGAGAAGTAGATTGACAAAACACTAGAACTTTGGCTTCAATGAAAAAGAAATTCTTCAGTTTAGAAGGGCAATGGGAAAACTAAGTTGTATTGCTGAAGTTAACAGCAATCTCAGAGATTAAAAATAGGAACAAGTGTTTTAGTTCAACAATGCCACATGAATTACACTTGAGTTAGAGCCCTAAAACTGGCAGTTGTTCAATTTTTCACATGGAAAAAGGTCAAACATACATCATCATCTTCACCACCTTCTTCATCCTTCTCTTTCTTTTTCTTCTCCTTTGGTGGAGGAACAAACTGAGTCATCTGAATACAATCTTCCAGAAAATAATCTGCAAGGACAGACAGGAGATCAGGACTGACTACCAGAAACCTGTCTCATAATTCTTCTCATCATCTCTCCAGAGTCTCCTGATGTAACTGGGATGTCTCAGAGTATGAACAAAACACAAAGTAAAGCAGTTGCTGGAGGTGCAACCCATGGTTTACCTTGGACAGGAAAGGTTCTGCCATAGACCTCGATGATGGGACAGTTGAAGAAGTATTCACAGAACATACTGGTGTCAATGGTGGCAGACATGAGCACGACCCTGATTTCAGGGTAGGCCTGAATGACATCCCTCAGCACCACCAAAAGGAAGTCAGTCTGCACACAAGGAGAATAAAAGAGTCATTAACTTGCTACTCATAAAAAGCAATATCTTCCCAAGAGACCAGAAGGAACTACACAGACATACACATCTATTGAACAGGAGTTTTACTGGACAAGAGAAGTAACAAGTAGCATAAAAGCATTCTGTAACCAGAAACTGTTGTCGGTGCCTTGTTTTGAAATTATTGCAATTCCTGGGGTAAGTGAATTTTAGGATTTCCAGTGTAAAGAAGGTAGTCTAAAAGTAATCTGCTTCCTTCCTAACAATACATTACAACCTCTGGTCTTTATAAACTTGGTTTACATGTAAAGTAGCCACAGTTCATAAATAAATAAAAATGTGCAGGTGTATGTGAAGTTTATGGTTCTGTTTAAACATGACATTTATTTAGTTTTGCCATGCAGTTAGGCAGGCCCTTAGTTCCAAAGGTATAATTCCTATCCCAGCCAAAATTTCAAAACTTGTATTTTACATCATTAACATAAAATTAATTGATGAAGAGAAAAATGTGTGTTGCAATTCCACCCAAAGGAGACCCCAAATTCTGTCCAAACAAGCTTAAATATCCTGTCAGAACTTTGTGCTTGCTCTCACTCTTGTCGTGGCAAGGCTGAAAATGATACAGAATAATCAAGGGGACAGAAAACGTTTTCCATTTCTTAAATGACATTCAATCCCTCCCCTACTTCTACTGCAGGGTCTGTAAAATATCACCAGTAATACAACACTGTCAGTAGGAACAGAACTGCAGAGTAACAGTGCCATTCAGTGTGCTCCCCTATTTGGACAAGATGTGCTTGTGCCGTGGTGTTCTGTCCTCCAGAGGGGACCAGGACACTGGAGATGCTAACAGGAAAAAAGAGGGCAGCAAGGAACACAAGTCCTTGCTCTGCTAATCAGGTAAGGAGTAATTAAGAGCTTCTAAAAACATTATTGAGGATGGAAAACTGACATATGTGTCCCTTAGTAAGACACAGTTTGCTCTCACACCTTGGCTACCACACACAAACACATCCACAAGTTAAACAGTAGCACAGAGAGATCAGGACTGCATCAGCAGCTCACTCACATTAATGTCTCTCTCGTGGATCTCATCAACAATAACGTGGCTAATGCCGCGGATCCCAGTCTCCACCTTTCTCAGAAGAACACCTGAAAAAGCCACAGCAGGTAAATGTTCCTGTAACAGAGCAAGCTTCCCCCTCTCAGCCCCTGGTTTAAAAACCAGGAAGTGTGCAGGCTGCCCAGCCCCTTTTCCAACCCATCTCTAATTGCCAGGCCTTCATCTGTACAAGTGACAGCAAGGGCATGAAGCATTACCACCTGAAAGACTCTTTCA